CCCCAAAACCCCAAAACCCCAAAACCCCAAAACCCCAAAACCCCAGATACTTTAATATATATTGAAGCATAGATTTACAAAATTATATTAATAATGGCAACCAGTGGTCCAAGAAGAGTCCTATGAGTGGCAGAAAAACACTCTGTTGCAAGAGGAATCGCAACAATATTATCCAATGGGAGATTTCAATTTGGAAAATCATACTCAAAATTTAACCCTGTTATGAATTTCTATAGAAACGATAATGAGATTTATACAGTTACTTCAGTCTCTGGCCATGTGAAGGGATATAAATTCCCTGAAAAGTACTCAGACTGGGCAAATACTCCCTTAGATGAGCTATTTGATGCCCAACTTGAGAAAGATATCCTCCCATCTTCAAAATTCACAGCTACTTCCTTGAAAAGAATTTGAAAAGACTATGATGAGCTAATCCTCTGGCTAGATTGTGATAGAGAGGGAGAAAATATTGCATTTGATGTGCTTGATATTATACAAAATGAAAACCCTTCCATTGATATTTATAGAGCAAAGTTTTCTGCAGTCACACCTAAGGATGTTACGAACGCAATGAATAGCCTTGAAAGACCAAATAAAAATCTTTCTAATGCTGTGAATATGAGACAAGAAATTGACTTAAAGCTTGGAGCAACTTTCACTAGATTTCAAACTCTTAATTTTAGTAAGTACTCACCAGGGATTCGAAACCAAGTTCTCAGTTACGGACCGTGTCAGTTTCCAACCCTCGGACTTGTAGTTGATCGCTTTAAAGAGATCAATAGCTTTGTCCCAGAGCAATTCTGGTCTCTCAAATTAACAAAGAGGTTCAAAATTGATGGCAAAATGAAGACTGTCAAATTCCATTGGAAGAAGGAGAGAATCTACGACGAACAAGAATGCGAAGCAATTTTTGAAGAAATCAAGAACAATAAAAATGGAGTTATCAGCTCTATTACAAAAGAAAAGAAGTTCAGAAGAAGGCCAGAACCTTTAAATACGATTGGATTGCAAAAGCTGCTCTCTAGGGAGTTCAATCTTGACTCGAAGGTCACAATGGAAATTGCAGAGAAATTGTATAATATGGGATATATCAGTTATCCAAGAACAGAGACGACCATATTTTCTAAAACTATCAATCTTAGACCTTATATCCAGGAGCAAATGAAGCACCCTGAATACAGTGAATTCGCTGAGAAAATAAACTCAGGAGAACTTTGGGGTGGGCCTGTAAAAGGAAAACTTGATGATAAGGCACATCCTCCTATACATCCTGTAAAGTATCATTCTGATGACCCAAAGCTTGAGCCACTTCATGTGAAGGTGTATGATTTCATAGTGAAACACTTCTTGGCATGTGTATCTAAAGATGCTGTTTACAATCACACCAAAATTACAGCTAAATTTGATGAGGAAGAGTTCATTGCTTCTGGCAATGAAATCCTTGAGCAAAATTATCTAGAGATCTATAATCCATATAAATTCTCAGATTCAATGATTGGAGATGTTGAGGAAGGAAGAAGCATTACTCCTGCTGGACTAAAAATGGAGGAGTCTTCAACCCAGCCTCCTCCATTTCTATCAGAAAGTGCTCTGATTACTCTTATGGACAAGCATGGAATTGGAACCGATGCCACTATTCATGAGCACATTAGTAAAATTCAAATGAGAGGGTATGCTATTAAGGAATTCAACATGTTCAAGCCAACTCCCATTGGATATCATCTTCTTGAAGCTTACAGCAATTTTGGATTTGAACTAGGAAAACCAGAAATTCGAGCAGATATGGAAAGAGATATGAAAAAGATTGCAGAGGGTGAGGTAAAAGATGTTCAGAAAATTGTTGACAAGCATCTCAACAAAATGAGAAAAGTCTTACATGAGTAACTAATTTTAACAATTTTAGAGTGGAAAATAAGAAGGATAAAATGGAAAAATATCTTGGAAAACATCTAGTATCAACAGAAAACAAAGAAGCAAAGCTAGCGCTTCTCAAGAAGACTGACTTCATGACTTGCGACAAGTGTAAATATGACAGTTTGATTGTAAGATATTCAAGAAGAGGCCAACTCTTCGTTGCTTGTGAAGGGTTTCCATCATGTAGAAACACCATGAACTTACCAGAGGGTATTAAGTTCATTAAAAAGACTAAAAAGGTTTGTCCAGAATGCGAGAAGAACAACAAAGGCCCTGTTCATATCATGAAGCTTCAATTCTCTCAAGACTTCCTCAAAGACCCTGAGATCTCAGCTCTGCTGGATGGAAAAGACTCAATCGACATCTGTATCTGCAAAAATTGCGATGCTAGGATGAAAAGACTGATCACCCTATGCCGTAGGCAGAATGGGAAACTTACGTAAGTGTCTGCTAACCCTTTAGTCGCAAGCACACCTTCATCACGGACTAAACCTGATTAGCTGTTTATTCAACTCAAGGGTTAAAGAAGGGATTAAAAGGAATTAAAGCAATAGGATTGGATAGTGGGTTAATTTTGGGGTTTAGCTGAGGGAGGTCTGGAATCAGAAGTGGGTAGAGAAGTAAAGGTAGGGGCATAGAGAGGGCTTGGGAATGTTAGGATAGAGGGATGAGTGGAGGTTGAGTTTGACTTGTCAAAAAATCATAAAATACTTTTTTCAAAAATTGTGTTGTGATATGGGGTTTTGGGGTTTTGGGGTTTTGGGGTTTTGGGG